TGCAGGCATAATGCGGGCCTGATGCAATGTCTGAATACAGCCTATGCATTTGAATTAGAGCATCAGTTCTTTCCATATCCGTAGGATATCAGCAGATCCCCAGAGAATGACATTCCAGACCCCAGCAAGGAGGATGGAAAGAAGCCAAACAAATCCCAGCAGCTGAAGAAAGTTTTTAAGGAATATGGAGCAGTAGGAGTTGGCTTCCATGTTGGGATTTCCTTGATGTCTCTAGGAATGTTCTACTTGGCTGTGTCAAGGTATGGTTTACATAGCTTTCCATAATTGTTTATGGGAGACTGCGCATTTCATATAATATCCCCCCCCCCTCAGATTGTCGAGTGTGAGGACTGAGTTGTTGGGTCAGACTAAGCTCTGTCTAGTCTAGCATTCGTTTCCTACAACAACTAGCTAGATGATTCTAGAACAGGGGTCCCCAATCTTTTTGAGCCTTTGGAACTCTGACAGTGTGGTGGGTACAGCCACAAAATGGCTGCTACAAAATAACTACCTCAGAAGGCAGAGCCAGGCACAAAATGGCTGCCCCAGCTTACCTTCAGTCATTCAGTGAATATCCTAGTATTGTGTAGACAGCTGTTACCAAGGCAACATTTTTGAAGAATCTGTGCAGCCAATCAGATGTCCAGTGCCCAGTCAGAACCCTCCCTGGGCAAAAGGCCTACCTGACCATCCCTACTTTCTAGAAAGACATTAGTGGGCACCAGAAAATGTGTCAATGGGAGTCATGGCGCCGACAGGTACCATGTTGGGGACCCCTGTTCTGGAACCTGGGCCTCTAAATTGGGTGAGCCTGTTGGCACTGTTAGGATTTTGAGAACAGGTAATGGGAACCACCAGAAAATGGCTGCAAGGAGGGGACCAGGCTAACAACAGAATGGCTGCCATGAGGACAGGAGAGTCAATAAAAGTGCTGGGATACAAGCCAAGCATTTTCCTGTGATGGAGGTGGTAGTTTCAGTATTGGTACTCCCTTCAAACACAAGGTTAAGGCCTCCTGAATTCTTCCACCCACTTATGTAGAAGAAATTCAGGACTGGATATTTGTTTGGGGACAGAGATATGGGGAATAAAGATGGGGCACCAGGAAACATATTGGGGATTGTTCCTCTAGAAGATGCCTCTTAGATATCCATTGGTCTGTTCTACGTGTGCTTACTTAAATCTGAACTAGAACCATAGTGTTGTAATTATTGGTGTGCTGAACTAGGATCTGGGTTCAGATCCCCACACTGCAATGAAGCTGATTGGGTCAGTTACCATAACCTACCCAACAGGATGGTTGTGAAGAGGAAATAGGGAAGAGAGCACCATCTCTGACACCATGTCGGGGCGCGCCATCCCCCTCGGGTCCCTCGTTTCCCCGCCAGCGTTGAGGGAAGGACCGGTGGTGTGCCGCCGGCGGGTCTGATCGCGTAATCGTGAATCAAACTGCGCCGGGGCAATTAGCCACGCCCCCCCCCCCCCGCGATATCCGGCCCATGTGACCGGGGCCATACATGTTACACCAGGAGTAGGCAACCATATTTTTGGCCCAAATGCAAAAAAAAAAAGCAACATATGCCTGTGTTTGTTTTAATTGCTTACTTTAGTTCGCCTTTCTCACTGAGACTCAATTTATTATTATTATTTATTTTATTTCATTATATTTATACCCCGCCCTCCCCATGAGCGGGCTCAGGTGCCCTCAAGGTGGATTACACAGAGTTAAGTCACTATCATCCAGTAAGCAATGTAATAGGATTGAGATTGCAGAAATCTGAAACAAAGCATAAGTATTAACACAACATGTTAAGCAATGCAGAAATTACACAGTAGGACAATACAAAATAGCAACAGATACTATTTGAGCAGAATTCGGTTTTCAGCTGCCGGACTTGCAAAAATATAGGGAGAGTATCTCTCTCCAAGGCTTGATATACAATTCACTAAACCCTACCAAGAGTATTGCTGACTCTGAGCAATAACAATCGGATTGTCTGAGATAGCCAATCACATGAGACCCTTGATTGGGTTGCTCTGTTTTCAGTTGTTCTTGCAAGGAACCATGAGAGATGGAGATTGATTAAAGAGCGACTCTCCCTGCTCAACACGCAACTGCCATTTTCCTAATACAAACCACATACCCACACAGAATGGGAGTGTCAGCCTCACAGAAGTCTGGTTTGGCAACAGTCACCACACCCTGGGCTGACATGAGCACCATTCGTTTAATTTTTGAAAATACATCCTTAAATTGGTAATTAGATCTGTTACGGTAGGGGAAAAAAGATTATGCTAAGCGACACACACACAAAAATGTCTTTATAAAATGGTTTAGTGTATCTGTAAAGATACTGGTGTGCCAGCAAACTAAATGGAGGGAGAGAGAAGGATTGTACATGAAGAGATGCAAGGAGCAAGTTAAGCCCCAGCAGCACTGCAGACATCTCAAGAATCTGCCTTGTGCCTGTCTCAGAGGCGCTGACGGGTGTGAGCCATGCCTATTGCCTTCTCCTGCACTGCTGACACCAACAGTGTTGCCAATGCCTCTGTCACTTGGGTCTTGCATGCCTCGGATGCCAGACAAAATGGTCTGGTGTTGCAATGTTGGCATGCAAGCCGGGGTGGCCTATTCCTGTTCTGCACAACGTACATAAACTGTCCTGGGTTTACAGCCCATCAGCTTTATTTTAAAATCTTTATATCAACAAGAAATTGATGCCCTGTAAAGTCCTTTCATTCCCTCTCCCTGGTTTTTTTTTTTGGTTTGTTTGTTTGACACAAGCCTTTGCGTAGGCCACTGTACGAATACATCATTATTTAGTTGCTGTAGATTTTCCGGGATGTGTGTCCGTGGTCTTGGCATTGTAGAACCTGATGTTTCTCCAGTAACTGTGACGCATCCTCAGAGGTATAACACAGAAAGATGGAATACTTTGTGTCAAGGTGTTTATACCTCGGAGGATGCCAGGCACAGCTACTGGTGAAATGTCAGGTTCTACAATGCCAAGACCACGGCCACACAACCCGGAAAATCTACAGCAACTAATGAACTCTGGACGTGAAAGCCTTCGACAACATACATCATTATTTGTCTGGAACGGAGCAAATCCCATGGTGTGTGGGTGTGTTCTTTTCAGCTTGCTCTCATCTGATGTGTTAGTTTCTCCAGCTTTAGAATATACCAGTTTTGTGTTTCAATCCATAGTCCCTTTAAGTGCTGACACTTTTTTTTTCCTAGTTGCAAACAATTACGACGAACCCTAGAGGGAATTGTGAGCAGTGTTCCCTCTAAGCTGAGTTGGTGTGAGCTAGCTCACAGTTTTTTAGCCTCCGGCTCACACCTTTTTGTCTTAGTTCAGGAAGGAGGGCTCCAAAGCAAACTGATTTATGCAATAGCCAAATTGCTCGCTCACAACTTTAATGCCGGTAGCTCACAAAGCAGAATTTTTGCTCACAAGACTCCACAGCTTAGAGGGAACATTGATTGTGAGTCCAAAAATCCTCAGTAAATGTAACAGTAGCTCACTGTGGGATGCCCATTCACCGTTCCTTCTCACCTTGCTACAGGTCAGGCAAGAATTCAGCTATTAGTGACTGCGGGTGGGAGGTGTTTGCCAAATGCAATCTCTTTTTGTCTGTCCTCAGCAGAAAGATATCCAAGGAATATTGCCTTTGAGCACAGGTGCTAATTCCGCGAGTTTATCCAGTTTCTGCTTATGCAGGGTTGTATTTTAGGTGTTGTGGCTCAGTGACAGAGCATCGCATGGCATGCAGAAGGTCCCGGGTTCAATCCCCAGCATCTCCAGTTGAAGGGACCAGGCAGTAGGTGATGTGATGTGAAAGACCTCTCTGCCTGGAGACCTGCTGCCAGCCACTACAGTATACTGACTGTGAAGGACCAAGGGTCTGATTCATCATAGAGGTTCATTTTCTGGAGGAAGTCTCCAGCTTTATGTGTATTGTACCGCTCTGGTCAGCTAAAGTGCAGAGCCTTCTTCCAACAAAAGAGGTTCATTTTCTGGAGGAAGTCTCCATGCTCAGTTAAGCGGAACTGTGTCTGTCACTTTTTCATCCTGCTCTTCTATGGAGCTCAGAGCACAGTGCATGGTTCTCCCCACTACCACATTTCATTCTTCTAGAGCCAGTTTGGTATAGTGGTTAGGAGTGTGGACTTTAATCAGGGAGAACTGGGTTTGATTCCCCACTCCTCCACATGTAGCCAGCTGGGCAACCTTGGACCAGTCACGAGTTCTCTCAGAGCTCTCTCAGCCCCATCGACGTCATGGGGTGTCTGTTGTGGGGACAGGAAAGGAAGGAGATTGTAAGCCACTCTGAGACTCCCAAGTGAGGGGGGGGGGTATAAATCCAGTCTCCTCCTCCTCCTCCTCCTCCTCCTAGCAGCCCTATGAGATAGGGAATGAAGTCCTGTTCATGTTTTACAGGGAACGCATGTACATCCTGCCTGTATGTGTATACATCTGTTTGGAAGAAAGAGTCAACATACATTCATTTTACAAATTAAAATGGGGATTGCTCCCTGGATAAATGTGGGGTGTCCATCGAATGTTCAGCTGTATATGCATTGAATGTAACATGAACATTACTCAGCACATGTATAAAGAAAAATAAAGTGTACACTTTACATGGTTTGTATGTGCAATTACTGTAACTTGTGAACAGGGCTACTCTCCACCATCTCCGGATCTGGCAGTAGGTGCTGTGAAGGACCTCTGCCAGAGACCCTGGGGAAGTGTTGCCAATCTGGACCTTGATGGAACAGTGGGCTCATCCAGTGTAAAGCAGCTTCATGTGTTTAGCTACAGTGGCAAAAGGTCTCATGGTTAAACTTTCATGGCAGTGTGGGAATTTGAACCTGTATCTCTGTAGGCCCCTAGAAACGGAAGTGAGACAATGTATGGTACATTTTACTGTAGTGGCTTGACAGAATTCTTTTGCAAAATCCTTGAACATTTTAATGGCATTATATTTGTTTCCTTTCCTCCCCCTTTAGTGGAGTGGACATGACTGCACTGCTTTTCAAGCTGGGCTTTGACGAAGCTCTTGTACGATCCAAGTTGGCCGCTGGGACAAGCACTTTTGTGTTGGCCTATGCTATCCACAAACTGTTTGCTCCAGTCCGAATCAGCATCACCTTAGTCTCGGTGCCGTTCCTGGTCAGATATTTTCGGAAGACGGGCCTCTTCAAACCTCCAGCTCCAAACCCTTGATTAAATCCTCAGAGAGTAGACTGCTGCCTCATTTCTTACTATAAGCCTCTGAAAATTGTGTGCAGTGGTGGCAGCCCGCTGTGGTCACAGAACAATGCCTTATTAATGTATTTTGAAGGATGTGTAAAAAGCAGATTGGGGGGAGAGAAGCTCTCTTCATGTCCAGGCATGGATTAACAACAGTCAAGGTACTGTATGGGTGGAAGGGTGGCATGGCATAGCCCAATCTTATCATATATCAGAGGGTCGGCACTTTGAAGGAAGACCATCAAGACTCTGCAAGAGGAAGGCAACGGCAAACCACTTCTACTTCTCACTTGCCTTGAAAGCCCCTTGCTGGGGTCACTATAATTTAGCTGCAACTTGACAGCACTTTACACACACACAAGGTACTGTACAGAGTTCTAGCAAGGAAGGTGAGATGCATTTTATGCACCTTAACATTAAAAAAGTAGGTCTATATGCATGGTAGGAGTCAGACATACTGAAAGTATATTGCATTCCAGATAATGGGAGTAGTAGCTGGTCTGCTCCAGAACTGCAATGTGCAGTTGGCTGTCCACAAGCTGCCACTTAATATAAGCAGGACTGCAGAAGTCTGGATGGGGGTGGTACCTGCAGCCTTTCCCACTAGGAATTGAATATCCTAATCCAGGTTTACATAGAGATGTACTAGGAGTTGACTCTAGCCCTGTTCAGGTTATTATGGTGAATGCACATACTGGGTATGTTTAGCCTGGAGAGGAGACGACTGAGAGGTAATATAACTGTCTTCAAGTACTTGAAGGGCTGTCATATAGAGGATGGTGCAGAGTTGCTTTCTGTTCCCCCAGAAGGTTGGACCAAAACCAGATGGTTAAAATTAAATCAAAAGAGTTTTCAGCTAAAGATTAGGAAGAACTCCCGGACAGTTGGAGCGGTTCCTCAGTGGAACAGACTTTCTCAGGAGGCGGTGGGCTCTTATTCTTCGGAGATTTTTAAACGGAGGCTAGATGGCCATCTGAGAGCGATGCTGATTCTGTGAACTTAGGCAGATCACAAGAGGGAGGTCAGAGAGGGTTGCCTCAGTGCTTAGTTCTCGTGGCCCTTTCTTACATGCCCAGGGAAATGCTGATCACCACTTTGGGGCCAGGAAGCAATTTTTCTCCAGGCCAGTTTGGTTGGGGATCCTGGAGGTTTTTTGTCATCATCTGGGCATGGAACAGTGGTCACTGGGGGTGTTGGCGAGGAAGTATTTGTGAATTTCCTGGATTGTGCAGGGGGTTGGAGTAGATGTCCCTGGAGGTCCCTTCCAAACTCTGTAATTCTATTTATCCTTATGTATATGAAATTTACAAATGACACCGGGGACTGGGACCAAGACCTGCATAAAAGTGGTGTTTGTATTATAGTCAGCTGTACTTGTGCTGACTGCGGCATGAGGCTTACTGAACACACACAGAAATACCAGGTGTCTAGCATAAATAGATTTGTCCATGTGTTTACTAACTTATGAAAAAGGCTAATACCTGCTACCTCTAAACTGTTAATTTACTTCTCATGTGTATAGAGGTAGTGAAGGATTTGGATCCTGAATAAATACACAAAGCTGCACAAGCTGTTTAGGGAAGCTGTTTAGGGAGAAGTAAAGCCCTTGAACATAAAACCATTGCTGGTTAATACTCAGTGATTCTCACAGGCATTTTTATTATGCACTGAGAAGCATGTTTGTATAAAGTTGCAGTGACTATACAGGAAAATGTCTTCACTTCCATCCCTCATACAGACTAGCCGCATTCCATGTTACAGTGAACACCTGTGTACATATACATCTGTTGGTAAGAGAGATAACAAGCATCCAGTTTACAAGTGAAACCTTGGGGGGGGGGTCAGTACCTGGATAAATGTGGTGTTTCAATCATACATTCAGTGGTATACATTAAAAAATAACATGAGAACTACTCGATGCATGTAGAAAGATCAAGTGCGCATGGATTATGTGTGTTCACTGTAAGATGTGGACAGGGCTTCTAATTAAACAAAATGACGTCAATTAGGGTGAACTTAATAGGAAACTGACAAGCAGAGTCTGTTGGTTTGTTCAGTTTACGTGCTGCTTGAGTCCAAAGGCCAGAGTTGTTTCCGAAAGAGAAGAGCAAGCTCCCCAGCACCTGAACTAGATTTCAGAATTACCAATAGTCAGCAGCCTTCTGTGAACAGGATCTGTAACTGGTACTCACAGAATGGGCTGGCTTTGTTTGTGCTGTAGGCAGGAGGGAAGGAATTGCAAACTCGCACCCACTGGAACGTCTGGATACTATTGAATAACAGCTGTGCATATAAAACACAGCTATAGTAATGAGCTTTTCAAGGTACATAAGATAAGCAAAAATAGCTTGCCCTGCTATTCAGATACACACCTCTTTGGAAACCAGTTCTTTCCACATTTCAAGGGAAGGGTGGTATCACAGATCCAGGCCTCTCTCCTTACTGTATTCTAGAGCTGCCAAGTTTGGGCTGAAAAATTCCTGGAATCCAAAATTTTATTGTGTATATAGCCAAAGGCCATCACAATACAAAATTAGGATAAATTCCTGGAGATTTGGGGGTGAAGGGTGGGGTTTGGGAAGGGAATTCATCAAGGTATAATGCTGATGGGCTGTGGCTCACGGGCAGAGCATCTGCTTGGAATGCAGAAGGTCCCAATTTCAAACCCTGGCATCTTCAGTTAAAAGGATCATGTAGGAGGTGATGTGAAAGACCTCAGTCTGAGTAGACAATATTGACTCTGATGGGCCAGTGGTCTGATTCGATATAAGGCAGCTTCATGTGTTCACTGCCAGCGTTCACCCTCTGAAGCTGCCATTTTCTCCAGCAGAACTGATCTCTGTTGTCTGGAGATAGGTTGTAATTCCAGATCTCCAGGCCCCACCTGGAGGCTGGAAAGCCTAATTTTATACCACTTTACCAATAACCTCAGGCCAGAGAGTTGTACTCACCATCCCCACATTCCTTTTTTTACACAAGGTCCAATGACAGCATTAGGTTGTGTGAAGTTACTTGGCATGTCCACTTTGACACATGCACAGGAAATATATCACTTTCAAATTCAGACCCCTGTCTTGGATCCTACAGAGGGTGTGGTGGATTATCTGTCTGATTCTTCGCGACCCCATGGACCACATCATGCCAGGCCCTCCTGTCTTCTGCTGTCCTCTGGAGTTTGCTCAACTTCATGTTCGTTGCATCGATGATACTGTCCAACCATCTCATCCTTTGCCGTCCCCTTCTTCTTTGACCTTCAATCTTTCCCAGCATCAGGATCTTCTCCAGTGAGTGCTCCCTTCTCATTTGGTGGCCAAAGTATTTGAGCTTCAGTTTCATTATCTGGCCTTCCAGGGAACAGTCCGGGTTGATTTCTTTTAGGATTGACTGCTTTGATCTCCTTGCAGTCCAAAGGACTCTCAAGAGTCTTCTCCAGAACCATAATTTGAAAACATCTATTATTTGGCACTCGGCCTCCCTCAACTCTCACAGCCGTACAAAACCCATTAATTATCTGGGTTGAGGATAATATGGGAGTCATACATAACAAAAGATATGTGTATTTAAGTTGGCAAGTGTGACTTGTACTTCCTTCCCACTCTAGCCTGCCAACTGACAGTTAAAAGAGCTGGGAGGTATGTTATACAGTATTTGTCCTTTCAGCAGAATCCTGCTTTAAATACAAGACAGCTTGAACAAGTGCAGTTATCTGGGAATGGCACCCAAACCCTGCCTATCAAAATTAGTCACATATCATAGTCCACAATACCTCCTATCCCTTCCCCCCCTCCAAAACCCAACTGTCGTTCGCCCATTAGTTGTTGACCGTTAAACTCCCCTCAGTTTTTTTCCCCTGCTTCACTCCAGCATTTAGAGAGAACTTCCTCATGTGGCTTTTCTGAATCCAGGTAGAGCTTAAATAACCTGCCCCAGAGACACAGCAGGCTGCGCTCTAAATCTGCCCCTAGGGGCTGTATGGGGTGGAGTTAGGAGCTGATGGGGACTGGTCTGAATCTGATTGGTCAGTTCACAAAGTGAGGGGAGCTGGTTTGAATCTAATTGGTCAGTTCACAATAGGGAGAGAAAAAAGATGCCATTTTCTCCTGTCCATCACAGGTGGCAATTCTTCCAGCGAATTCATCTATCTTAAAAAACCGCTAACGAACACACTGGATGTGTCATTGTAGCATTAAATATAGTAATCAAGTTATTTGAGCAATTCAAGCAGAATAGCTAAATTGGTATCCCAACAAAAAACCAAGGAGACAGGGCAAGTGCTTTCATCTGCAAAATGATTAATGGCATTTTATGTGCTGCCTCTCCACAGACCTACTCCAATGTAGGATTAGCTGCCTAAAAATGAAATTAAGGAAGAGCCTTGCCTGCTGAAATGCTGTAGGACACAATGGCCAAAAAGTCACTTTTAGTGCCATGGTGGTTTTTTAGAGGGGTGGATATGGCTTTCAGGTGGCCTGGTTAAACTTGCCCCCTGCCTTTACATCATTAGCCTAGTTACAGCCTCTTCTCACCCTTGCTGAGGTCAAAATTTGACTAAAGAAATAGTCATGTTTTCCTGCTTCTCTTTTTTCAAGGCCACTATGGAATAAAACCACCATAGGTCCTAAATAAATAAATAAATAAATCCTGTGAAAAGCACTTTCATTAAAACACCTGCCTTTACATCATTACCCTAGTTATTTCCTGGATACAGCTTGAAAACATGTTAGGGTTTGTTCAGCCATTGAAAGATTGTCCCTCAGTCAAAGGCAACATGGAAGTCAGCTAGGTCTAATGAGTCAGCTAGAACAGCCTCCCCTCACCCTTGCTGAGGTCAAAATTTGACTAAAGAAATAGTCATGTTTTCCTGCTTCTCTTTTTTCAAGGCCACTATGAAATAAAGCCACCATAGGTCCTACTTCCTGTGAAAAGCACTTTCATTAAAACACCCCATTTCTTTGCATACCACATTCTAGAACAGGGTGGAGAAGTCTTATTAGAACAAGCACCCTCCCTGGTAGGTTTGTCTCTGAAGATCCTGAGGTACCTCCACACCGGGGGGGGGGGGGGGGGGGGGGGGTTGTACATGGCAGCAGGTCTAGCCTCAGCAACACTGCCAGCATGAGGCTTAACTGACAGCTGCCCTGATCCAGGAGACCTTGCCAGGCATAAACCACACCTGTTGTCTCCACCACTGGTGCTACCAGAACATATCAGGAGCTTACCTCAGTTGTTTGGGCATAGTGCTAGCCCTGTGAGCTAAGCACACAATGGTACAGTGTATATGAAAGGTATCCTCAACGAGTCCCCTAAACAGTGCTTAGGAGCAACTCATCCCAAATCAACTCTGTTAGGGAAATAGCCCATCAAGTTGCTTTAAGTTCTGAAGCTCACAGCCCAATGTTCAAGTCTTCCAATATGTACTTCCTAATGCTCCTGCCAACCTAGCAGTTCGAAAGCAAGAAATTGCAGGTAGATAAATAGGCACCACTTTGGTGAGAAGGTAACAGCGTTTCGTGTGCCTCGGCGTCTAGTCATGCTAGCCATATGACCACAGAAACGTCTTCGGACAGCGCTGGCTCTTCAGCTTGGAAACTGAGATGAGCACCGCACCCTAGAGTCGGATTCGACTGGCTTTCGAGCAAGGGAAACCTTTACCTTTTTAATGCTTCTATTATATGCACTTCAAACTGCTTTAGGTAACAGTGGCCCACTGCATTAGTCCCTACAGTACAGAGATGCTTTGCCTCTCTTCAGAATATGCCAGGAGGCTTGAACATCAGTCCACATCGTTACATTTTAGTACTCTCTCAACAGACAGGATCAGATAGCATCCCCACTGACTTGGAATGCAACATTGCTATGCATGCTTACCTTCCAGCATTCCTAGCCTTACTCTTGACACCTCTCACATTTAGCACAAACAGTGGAATTGATTCTGAGTCCATTCTGCTAGCAGATGAGTTTTCTTTCATAGTGTCAAGGCTCCATACTAGCAGAACAGATTCATAGGATCCAACCCACGTGCTGATCTTTGGGATGACCTAATAGCTTTGGTAGCTAATATGTTTTTTTAAATAGTTTCTGGACCTTGGGATTTTGTTTATAAACAAATCTTTATTTAATAAAAGCTTCAAATGCCTTACAACTAAAGACAGGACAGACGATTAAAGAGACTTCACAATTATTAGCACACATTTGGAGAGGCAAATTCAATCCATTTCATATCACCACACTTACTGTAGTCTTCAGTGTTATTGCACTGTTCCAGTAACCCAAAGAGGGAAAACTTGTGAATTCCAGGCAAGTGGTTGAGGGCCTTTGACCAGTTGTGCCTGGGTGCGTTTGGATCATGTGCAACTGAACTCAAGTAAAAGGTATCCATGTCCCGTGAAACTGCACTGGGAAGCCCCAGAAAGTTTGAGCTGCAAAGTTAGAAGTTTCACAATAAACAGCTCGTAGTGCGAATTCTCCTCTGCCTTTATCGAGTTCAACTCTAAGCAGCCTATGTTGGGTGCGTTCCAATAGTTGTAATTAATTACAACTACGGGCTGCCACAAAACTACAATACTGCAATGCTCGCTGGCCTAGGACTGAGCTGCTTTAGTGGTAGTGGCTTCAGTGATTCGGTGCCTGGGAGATTTCGTAGAGTTGGCAGTCACCCAGGGATGTTTGAGCACTTCTTCCAGTGGCAGCCTGTGGTAAGGATTATGCTTCAGAAGCTTGGAAATCAGATCTCTTGCTCCCTCTGTTACAAAAGGAGGAAATCTGTACTCCACCTGAAACCAAAGAAACAGCTAATATTAGATGCAACATCACAGCAAAAGCATGAACTCTTTCAATTATTGCTTGCCATTAGCTCTCCACTGCCTTTATCACTCACTCAACCTTTGGCAGCTGTGTCTTCATGCAACCCTACCATTCAGCCTGCTATGTAACTGGCTTCATCTCCTTCCCTGTCCTCTGTACAACTTGATTTAGCTCGGAAGAGAATCCATAACCTTGCTTGGGTAATGCTTTTCTATTGGAGAACCCAAGTGGGAAGCTGCAGGTTGTACTAGTAGAACCACCCCTACCTCTCACTACTGTAATCTAGTAGGGAAATGGGATCTTGCCAATAAGCTAGATGTTTGTAGGCAAGTCATTTATAGAAAACGACAATCCTGCAGAGAGAAAATATGTTCCAACAAACTGCAACTTCCCACCTACTTCACCGCACCAGTGTTTCAAGAAGGAAATGAAAAATACTGGGTTCAAGGAATAGGACCCGGGTCTGAGAATAACCTGCCAAAGCCTGGACTGACTCCCCCATCAGCTCCTAACTCCACCCCATACAGCCCCTGGGGGCAGATTTAGAACACAGCCTTCTGTGTCTCTGGGGCAGTTATTTAAGCTCTACCTGGGTTCGGAAAAGCCACATGAGGAAGTTCTCTCTAGGAGATAAAATAGTGAAGAGGTGGACAAAGGAGTCACATGGCATTTTAACTCACCTTTGAGATTGCTCTGTATGTTTCCTGGTATGTTTTGGACTCAAAAGGAGGCTTTCCTACTAGAAATTCATAACAGAGAACACCAAGGCTCCAGAGGTCCACCTTCTCATCATGTGTCCTCCCTTCAATCATTTCAGGCGGTAAGTAGTCAAGTGTACCACACAGGGTTGACCGCCTGGAATAAGAAAATATGTTCAAGTATAGCAGGCTAAATGTTACTAGGGTCAGAGGAATAAAGTACGCTGAGCAGACGCAGCTACTGGGCTGGCTCCCTCTCCCAAATGCACTCTTCTAGATCTGCAGTCTCTCCACACTGATTAACATTCACTTCATTTGTTATAATTCAAGACCAGCCAGACTGATTAACACTTAAGTTCAAGCCTTCACCATCTTCTTGTTCCCATGAACTGAGACTAGTGCGGTGACAAGCTAGGGTTGGCTTCAATGCTCCCTCTAAGCTGTGGAGTCTTGTGAGCAAAACTTCTACTCTGTGAGCTACTGGCATGAAGTTTGTGAGCGAATGATTTGGCTACTGCATAAATTAGTTTGCTCCGGAGCCATCCTTCCTGAGCTAAGACAAGAATGTGTGAGCTGGAAGCTAAAAAACTGAGCTAGCTCACACTAACTCAGCTTAGAGGGAACACTGGTTGGCTTAATTAACCACACTTAAATGCTCAAAATAGCCTCTTACTGGGAAGCTTCAATAAGTCACATTTTCATCCCATCCTTCCTCCAAGGAGTTCAGGGAAGCGTGTATTGTTCTCCCACACTTCATCCCTACAAGAACCCTGAAAGATACTCTGGCTGAGAGATTAATGCAAGCAAGCACAGATGTAAAACTTGTTCTTTTCACTTCCAACACGATATTCTAACCACGATACCAGCATCTAAATCTAGGCATCTGTAGTCTGATCTCCTTAGCATTCATATTTCAATTTAGGTGGCCAAAAAAAATGCTTTAAATAAAAACTGCAATTCATTCAAGCACACGAGTTCTCCATGCTCCTCTCAGCTTGCAGAACCAGACGCGAGTGGCATGCTACTTTATTTAATTCATTTGTACCCCACCTTTCTCCCACCCAAAGCAGCTTATTCAAGGCTCCTCTCCTCCACTTTATCCTCACAACAACCCTGTGAGGTAGGTTATGCTAAGAATGTGCAACTGACCCAAGGTCACCCAGTAAGCTACCATGGCACGAGTGAGGATTCGAAACTAGGTCTCCCAGATACTAGTCTGAAACTCTTAACCATACACCACACTTCACACATCCTTACTGCCTATAGAAAACAAATCCCTGTTGCCGGCCAACTTCTGTTGCATCCTCACAGTGTTAAGCTTTGATTCGCAGAAGCTCTAGCACCAAGCACTCTCACCTAGAGGAGGGAGCATGCACAGACCATCCAAAGTCAGCAATCTTCAGTTCTCCGTTTGATCCCAGCAGCAAGTTTTCAGGCTTTATGTCTCTATGAATTACTCTTTTTGAGTGGCAATACAACAGCGCATCTGCCAATTCAGTGATATACTGCAGAATAAAAAATCAAGATGGAACAGAATTCTTAAATCCTGTTGGACTAAACATTTATAGATAACGCTCATGTGTTCTAGTGGCATTGTATATCTAGCTGAAGCCACACATACAGGATGCAACTTTAAAAAAAACACCAAGGTTTGGATTCTATGACATTGTTCCCCTCCGGCTTCTCTCCCACCGCTGCAGGTTTTTCTCTGCTGCAGCAGTCATGTCCTTTGCCAATAGTGCTTTTGGGTGCGCAAGACCATGTTTTTTCAAAGAGCCCATATACACACCCAAATGCTAGTGGCAAGGGAAGCAAGGGCTGCAACAGCCTTCACAGAGGCAAGAGAGAAACGCAAGGGGAATGAAGTCATAGGATCCAGCCCCAAGAGGCTAAAAGGAAAGTGAAGATAGAAAGCAGGAATTTAGGAATGCTTTGGCATTGACTATATCACTAATGAAGTTATAAAGAAAACTTATCAAGCAATTCAGGCATATCATCGCCACCACAAAATAACAACTACCAGGAGATTAATCTTACATTCTTAGATGCTATTATGGCAATTACAAAACTTGATTTTGTCATACTGCAAGCAGTGAAAGGTGCCAGGTTACAGAATATCCCTGGTCATTAGTTGCTGGTCTGCCTTCTGAAGTATAGGACTGCTTTTATCACTTCGAGGAGCAGTGAAGTCACACAAGAATCCAGCCAATTATTTAGTTGCAAAACCATCCTTACTGCAGCAGTTGTAGAGGCTTCAGTTACCTGCACGCCATGTATTAAGCAACAAGACGTTGTTCTAACTGTGCAGACTAAGGAGACTTTCCAGCTATGAATATTACCACAAGAGTTCATTCTCCTCAGCTGAATGAACTATGGCTCAGAATGGGCATAAACTGGCTCATGAACTAAAATTCATGATGAATTTGGGGTGGTTTGTGGTTCACGAAGTGAAGTTTGTGGCAGATCAACCAGCACGAACTTTCAAACAGTTCATGGATGTTCGCTGCGGTTTGTGAATGGATACATTTCTAGACAGTCTCCGCTCAAACTAAACGTTTACTAAACTTTAGAGCAATGGGGAGAGGGGCAGAACTTGGAGGGCATGTAGAGGAGAATCTGGGGAGGTCCTCTGCAACTTTGATGTCTCTAGCTTGCACAGGGATCCATTCTATACACTCCTGAACCTGTGGATGTCATTTCCCCAGAAAGCACTTTCCTGGGGGGACCTTCTTTGGGGGGCCCCATACATCCAAATTTTCGCCAAACTTGAAGGGCAGCCAGAGATCCCCTGCAAGTTTGGTGTCTCTAGCATGCTGGGGTATCTTCTACCATGCCACAAACCTCATCACTTCGTTTGGCTCCTAAAATTTCACGAGAGTTTATGGTTCATGAACCTGGCACACCACAAACCATGAACTGAACTATAATTGCTGCGCTAGATTCCCCACTGCATGTTCTGCCAGGAAGACAGAGCCCTCAATTTCTGATGCCAGCTACTGCTCTTCTGCTACAGACCAGACTAGCTATTAGAACAAGAAAGATTTCCCATTATTTCTTGGTCTGCTATGCTATAGTTGTGTTTTGGGGATACCTTTGTGTTCTGATTTGGGCAGGTGGATTCTACTTAATCCTCACATCCCATGTAAAATTACTCCTTATGCAAGCAGTTGGAAGTGTGAGACTTGTAATTATAAACTCAGTGCCCCCATCAGACCTTTTACCCATGACACTAAAAAATCCCATTGCTCTAACTTTGTAAAACTAGATCAGCTGTACACCTAACTCATCTGGTTTACCAAGTAGCACTTTAGGGTGAAAGGGTAAGAACCCTCTCAAGGAACCCAGAGGCATAGTGCTCCTGCAATTTAGTAGCCTTCAATTGGAAAAAGACTAAATTTCCCATCTGGTCTAGCAATTATGTGTAGATGGAGGTTTTGGACTAAACACAACAGTAGCCTCTAGATTTTAAGCTAGAACTCCCTTTTTTTTTGCAAAAAAAGCTGCAGAGAGAAGGAATGTCTCCACCAAAAAGAACAAGGCTATTTTTTATAGTCCTGCTGTCAACAAAAGAAGATACCTAGCTTCTGGACATCTTTTGCTGATATCAAGAGAACATGGGACCTAAAATGTAAGTTTATGCTTCAAATGGAGGCCATATTGCAAAAATGAGAAAAGTTTAATCCATGGCCAAACCTACAGTAGCAGTTCGCTGCTCATCAAACTTGGTAACCTTCTGAAGCTCTTTGTACACTTCCCCATGAGGCGCATACTCCAGGATTAGGTAGACTCTTGTTGTGTCGTGGAAATAGCCATATAATCGGAGAACATTGGGATGCCTACAAGAAAGGATATATGTTTCTCAAGTTCAGCATCATAAAAAACAAAATGCGCAGTTTCCATGTCCTTCATCCCTTTCCAGAACTGCATTTAGAACATCTTCTAATCAATCGAGAGTACAATCTAAAGCAAAGTTATGCCCTTCTACATTCACTGAAGGCATCAGGCATAGAAGGGTATAGTTTTGCTTGGGAATAGTTTTGCTTGGGAGAGTGTTCCACTGTTCTGTTTATTAGTTCCAGGCCAGGCGTGGTTTCTCTGCCGGGGTCCTGGACGAAAGTCCAAGATTGGGCCTCAGAACCACTGCTGCTGCCACCAATGCTCCCTCTAAGCTGTGGAGTGTTCTGAGCAAAAATTCCACTTTGTGAGCCAGTGGTATTTGTAAGCGAGAGATTTCACTACTGTATAAATCAGTTGGCTCTGGAGCCATCCTCCCTGAGCTAAGACAAAAATGTGTGAGCCAGAGGCTAAGAAACTGTGAGCTAGCTCACACTAACTCAGCTTAGAGGGAACAATGGCTGCCACCACGATCCTGTTGCAGCCTGGCAAGGAATAGCCATCACCCTGAACAAGATGGGCAGGAATTGTTGCCACAAGCCCAAAACAGGATGGGCACAAGTGGCTACTGGTGCCTGCTCTTTTCTCCCCTTCCTTAAGGGGGAGGCAGAGCTGTGGGTGGTCATGGCCCCTTCTCAGTGTGAGGCCCTGAGCAGCTGCCCTGCTGCCCATTGGTTACGATCACCCGGATCCAGGCTATAATCCAGAAATTTAATTTACTAATTGAGATCTTATAACACTTCTTTTGTCTATTACCTTAAGCACAGGCTTATATGCTGAATATTTTCAGGCCCCCTGAAAGTATATCCTTTCCCCTACCCAAGAGTTCTGCTTTGAACCACAGATTGCTTCACTGTTAACTGCTGTGTAGAGAATATACAGTAATGATGAATAACATTTATACCTTGGTAGTCCAAATTTTCTACTTGGAGTGTTATCTGCCCAATATTGTGCTAAGGGTCAGTATGACCTCAAATCTGGGGTTTATATTGTTTTATTTTCCTAATCTTTCCAACCGGATTCGGTGCATTCAGAAGGGCATTTTTGTAAAAAGCTGTGTTGTAATGATTCAGCACAGGAAGTGACTTTTGTTAGGGGAAAAGCCTTTCCTACACTGATGTTCTTGTTGCCTTAAACAGATATGTTTGTATGTGTTATTCTTTTTCTCTCTGTTCTACAATCCCAGCCCAGCCGCATTATTTTGTTTTAACATTTTAATGTAACAGCAAAGATTCATGCTATCATACATTATAACCCTCCAACTGATAAACGTTTCAGTCAACTGTACTATGCCTTGAGACACAGTGAGAAAGGCGGACTGCAAATAAAAAACCCTCAATAGGTTTTAATCTCAGTTTTTTAAATAAAACGGGGGGGGGGGGATATACCAACAGGATGTAACTGACCCCACTGTTCTTGAGAAGTATATAAAATATGACTAGATACATTTCCTTAATAAAGACTTTACTTTTTTTACTACTCTCTGGGATACTAGAAAAAAAGAATTAAAATCTTGATTTACCAGCACACTGCTGTCACATGATTTACTTACCCATTTAGTAATAGTGAACCGATAACAGCAAGGACAGCCCTTTTAAAAGTAGGCATTAAAATACTAAGGATCTACAATACCTAGCCAAATGCATTTATTTAGGGAGGCTTCACAACGACTACTACATGGAAAGAAATCAAAACTAAATCTGAGCTATGTTTGTTTTTTTTTAATTACTTGGAGAATCAGCAATCCTGTAAACATCTATAATGTACCAGTTGGATAACAATCTTACCGAAGATGAGACTGTATTTCTACTTCCCGACGCAGCTGATGCTCAACACCTGCTTTCTCCAGCTGTATTTTAAACAAGACCTTCAATGCCAAGACGAATTTGCTCTCCTTCTCACGAGCCAGATACACATTTCCAAATTTTCCCTTTCCCAAAGGACGACCAATTTCAAAATCATCAAGAGACCACTGTTTTCTAAAAGATTTAGAACTACATATTAGATTTCCAAGGAGACTGAAACTCTTTTGCTTCTGATGCTGCCAGTTACTTCATGAAGACATTCCTGTTCCAGAGCTATCTACTGTAGGTCCAAACCATATGAGAAATTTTTGAATGCAACACTCAAGTAGTCGCTTAGTTTTCTTTCTAGTATTTATGAATACGTCTTTTTGGTTCACACATATAACCATAAGCTACTTTTTCATACTTAGATATTCAAACAGATAGGTGTGGTGGAAAGCAGTGACTTTACCTTTAGGGGGCTTTTTTTTTAAAGATTTTTCTGAAAACCAGGGGAGTCCAAGTTGGCTGTTTAGCGTCCCTGTGGCCCTATCTGTAGATTTAGGTATCCGTTGCTAATAGTACATAGATATAGCCTGATTGTGGCAAACCTATTCCCTATCCTTAGCAATCACTTTTGATCCATTTAGACATTATGAATTAGTTAAGCTCTCCCTTAAAGCCACTTAACCAAACAGCTATCACCACTGTTAAAATAATTTAACTCAAATACTTCCTTTTTGACTGTACCGAGCCAAATTCATTGAATTTCACATGCCAAAAGGATACATTTTCTCTGCTCACATTCACACCTATAATTTTACAAGACCCCCTCATCTTTTCTAAACCAATTACCCCCAATTATTTCAGCCTTTCTTCATAAGAAGAGTTGTCCAACCCCTTGAACAGTTCAACATTGGTAGCTTTGTCCCATACAAATGGAACATGCCTTCTGCAAAGTAAATTGACTTCCATTGTGATAGCCGCCATGACCCTAAAGACCTGTTTCCTGGATTACTACCAGGGTATATAGGGAATTTACAGTGAATTCCATTTGGCACTTCTTTGCCTGTTCACCCAGTATATACTTAACTGGAGACCAGAGACAGTTAACAGAAAAAGCTGTGGAACAGGTGAGCAAGTCATGGAGAAAGGGAGGAGGAAGAAAATTAGACAGGGCCACACAGTTTCATAATAGCTTTCCAATATATTTGAAGCATCTCAGTTTGAGAAAACTGTCTTGATCAGAAAGCTCATCTCAAGCTTTTTAGAGAGGGGAAAGGGGCAAGAGCAGGCAGGCCAAAATGAAGATTAAAATGAAAACATGTTCAGATTAGAAAGCCCAGGCAATCTCATCAGATCTCAAAAGCTAAGCAGAGTTGATCCCGGTCAGTACTTGGATAGGAGACCACTAAGGAAGCCCAGGGCTGCTACGCAGAGGCAGGCAATGGCAAACCAACCTCTGTTAGTCTCTTGCCTTGAAAACCCTATAGGGTCGTTATAAACCAGCCGCCAACTTGACAGCACTTTCCACCACCACAAGAGATAAAGCCGTTATGCATGAACTTATTTTGCCCCTTATCTACACATGGAAACAAGCTTACTTTTTCCCATCATTTTTTGTTTTTGATGCATCAGTGTTCTCATTCTTTTGATTTGATACGCCTTCTGCTTCAGGCTTTTTTGCTGCACAAGGGGGAAAATTGAACACTTTGAATCAAGCTGGTGCCAGATAATGTAGCATTAAAACAAGAATTGCTGAAGAATACAAAGCATCCCCCTGCGGGATTGGGAAACTTTCATGCTTCTCAGGCAGTTCAGAGTTCTAACTTTAGGATTTAAGCACCTTGGCATCCAAGAACCATGGCAGGCTAATTAGCATACAATTTCTAGTCCACTAGATTTCTTACAGTTGCATTCCGCCCATCCTCCCAAGTAGATGTGGGGAGCTATGGAATTCCTGATCCAACTCTCATTATTCATTCATTCTTTATTAAAATATTTATATTCCATCTTTCCTTTTTGGCTCAAATAGATTACAAATCAAATTTAAAACATATAAGGTACAATAAAATCCTCCAATAACACCCCCATGGGGGAATCATATTGGTCACAACCTCTTTAAGTGAATTCCCAAAGGTGGGCATCTTAGTTTAAAAGCCCTCTCAGTCTGCAGGTTTCAGGATAATTCTGGCCTATGTTTCGAAGTTACCATAAGCAGCACCTTGAACACCCAAGAAGCCCTGTGCAAGTTACTGCAGTGCCATACAATGCTCTACCTCCTACCCTCCTTCTAACAAATCTATTACTGCACTTCATGGCTGAGCATTTGTTTAAAACAGGAAGTTTCCCCATGTACACACCCAGTACTAGCTAAGTCCCCGCAAGGTGTTTAGGATCAGAGAAACAGCAGGGGCAGTGTTAGGGATCCTGGGGCCCTGGGCAAAACTCATCAATGTCCACCTCCACTGCCACACCTCTGAAGCCACTGCAAAGAGATGCTGCATCCTCTCCCCTCCGGACCACCCTGCCAGCGCACCTTCAGGAGGCATTCTGGCTCTGCTCCCTGCCTCCTTGGTTTGGGGTGCATCAATGCAGCAGAATGTTTTCCTTAGACCAGACCAAGCCAATTACAGTTGAAATTATTGTACCTTTCATTGCTCAAGCTTGAAATGTCAACAAGCACCCCATACAGGAAGTGAAAAATTGTCTCACTCACTGAGGGCGTTTACAAAACAGTAGCCCAACAACAACCTGAGATGTTAAAAGTATCAGCATTCACTAGAAATGCTGTGACCATTGCAAAAAGTGCAGGGAGTCAAACTTACCTTGATTGAAATAAACAACAATCTAGAGGCTGCAGAGTCTATAATGATTAAAGCAGTGACACACACTTAGTGCTTCCGGGAGCCATCTGTGGCTCTTCTGAGTATTGTTCACTGGTGTGGCACCGACCCCATATATCCTAGGAAAGTGCGCCAGCTTGTGGCTGGTAGGTGGTCTCCACCTTGAAATGCCTGAGGGATTGGCAGCAGATGAGTAAGATGCAAACCCATCAAAAGTTGTAGGCCTCATGCCAGGAATAGAAGCATACATCCTCTCCAATACAAGATTCTGCACTTCCCCCCACAGTTCTTGAATTTGGTATATGCACATCTCACCCTGTACTTCCTGTACCTGACAGCCCTTTGAATCTGATGTTTGTTTCCCATCTTAGTGAAGCCTCACAACATTGCAGCTGAAATGTGCTCCAGTTTACAAAGCCTTATGCTTGAATAAAAACCTTCTTAAAATCTGCCATTGGGCTCCTGCTCATTTGTTGCACTGGATTAACACCTCTGGAATTCTTCTCTTGATTGAAATCACCAACTTTTTGTTCATCGTCCTGCTTTAGAAAGATTTGCTTATAATTCAAAGTGAGCAGTACTGTGAGCAGGTCTGTGTCTGAGAAGACAACGTTCAATGGGGCAGCTAGTCAGGAAGCATCAGGATTACCATATCCCAGATCAGCATGTGATGACTCCTAAAAGCAGCCAAGTTAAATCCTATGTGCTGCCTTTACACCTACACCGTTTGCAACATTCCTTTATCTCCTCTTCTTCCCTTGCTCTCTCTGCCCCCAGGAACTTGCCATTTCTATATTTCCTGAAGGTGTAGTGCAGACCTTCAAACAGTGTGCCTTTGGTCACTTTTATTTCAAGTTCCTAGTTTCACAGCTATGCCCCTATCCAAAGTGATACCACCAAGTTCCCTCTCAGTATGCTGAAAATGGAACCAAAACTTTTAACCCCTGAAAGACTTGCACTGCAATCCTAAACAGAATTATATCCTCCCAAATACTGAGGAGTCAATGGTTTTAGAAGATTGTATTGTATTTTCGGTACTCCGGAAGAGCACTCAGTGTATTGGTCTGGATGGGAACACAGCTCAGATATTATGAATCTGAAATGAAAAAGTGACTCAGTTGTGGTGGTGCATACCTTTCAGCAGCACTGAACAAACAAAAATAAGGTGTGGAGAACTCACCCCACACTGAACAAAAATAAGGTGTGGAGAACTCACCCCTAATCCTTGTTTCTGTATTCCTGCCCTATGTTTCCAAACAGCTGTACCAGTACTTGCTCAATCTCATAAACTATATATGCTTGACCTTCTGTTCCTGGGCCTCTTAAGCAGGATAGCCTCTCTCCTACTTTTTGGCATGGAATGTGTTGATTACTGAACTTGCAAAGAACCCTGAGATGAGAACTGGAGCAATAGCTTCTAATACCAAAGCATTCCTAAAGCATGGAAAAGCAACACTGTTCCCTAATTCAAATCATAGAGATAAGGAGCAATAGATGGTTTCTTGCCTGTGAAAAGCTGCAGTTTCCACCAACACAGTGCATCTCATTCTCTCCTCTCAACTTCCCAGAATGTGTCTGATTAACCCCAACAAAACAGTTAAGAAAAAACATGGCCTACATCTTTATAAGTCTATTATTTCAGAACATAACACAGTTTGAATCCAGTGGCACCTTTAAGACTAACAAAGTTTTATTCTGGGTATAAGCTTTCATGTGCATGCACACTTCTTTCATGCACATGAAAGCTTATACCCAGAATAAAACTTTGTTGGTCTTAAAGGTGCCACTGTTTATTTATTTAACTTTTACCCCGCCCTCCTTACCAGGCAGGCTCAGGGCGGGTTCCGAAAACTGACAAGCAGCATACATTCACAATAAAATACAAGACATCAGTTAAAACACAACCAGTCAATATAAAACTGTTCTGTTGTTTCAGACCAAAACAGCTAACCATCTGGATCTATATCAGAACATACTGATAATAACAAACACAAAACAACAATAACAATCTATTGAAATCATGAAATAGATGCCAGTGTGATATAGTGTTGTACTAGTATCTGGAAGACTTGGGTTCAAATCCCCACTCATGCCATGGAAGCTTGCTAGGTGACCTTTGGCCAGTCACCCTCTTTTAGCCTAACTTACCACACAGGGTTGTAATGAATATAAAATGGAGGAGAGGAGAACCATGTAAGCCAACGTGGGTCTCCACTGGAAAGAAAGGGAGGGTACAAATGAAGTAAACAAATAAATAGAAAATAACAGGAAAAAATTACCTGCTATTGTTAGCCTTAATCTCATGCCAAGAAGTCTTGAGTAAGAATTGTACCTTCTATTATTGCAATATGTACCCTGACAATATCTGCAAGGGGACACTTACCTTGACATTATGACTTGGAAGCCCATTCAGGTTCTCTTTACCAGCTTTGTCCATTATTGTCTAGAGGGAGTTGAAATTCAGTCAGTCATTTAATCACATGCAGGGGTTACAAATCAGTTGAATATTATACTCAAGGCTTCTGAAGCTACTATGTTCACCTCCTTCCAATTCTCAAAGTAGCACACCTTCAAAAAGTTAAGCTTCCATTTCTTCTAAGGGAGGCTTCCCATCTCACTGCATCAAGCCTTACACATGGTTTTAAAGTGTTTCCCCCACAGCCCTCGTCATAAAATGAGTTTGAGCAATATGCCCTCTCTTTAGTTCTAACCCACCCCATTGTTAATGAATCATATGGATTTTCCTTTTCCCTGAACCAACTCACACAGATGCTTCCAGAAAATTACAGGAACATTTTAATTTTAGTAACCATACAATACAACACAGAACATTCATGAACCAAATTTAGGAACTGACAGCACTGTCAGCATAAGGCTTTTTAAATTTTAACTTACATTAAGCCCATTATGCTTGGGGTGGTGGAGGACAATTAGAAATCAAACAAAGCAAAATGGATATGTGTGACACCTTACAAGACAGAAGGGTAGATTGATGTGATGTAAAAAACAGTGTGGTCTAGCAATTCACACGTCAGACCCAGATACTGGCAGAAGCCAAGAAGTTTAGCAGGTGACCTTTAATCAGTGACACTCATATCCCAACCTACCTCACAAGAGTAGATTGATGTGATGTAAAAGACAGCGTGGTCTAGCAATTCACACATCAGACCCAGATACACTCATATCCCAACCTACCTCACAAGAGTTCCTGTCACTTTAAAACAGGAAGGAAAAGGATGCATATCACCCACAATTCTTTAGAAGAAGGGTAGGATTAAAATAAGCAGATAGACCAATAGGTACCAAGAATATTGCTTTCCTTTTGCAGTAACAGACCACCACAGTCACTCTTCCAAGTACACAATACAAAAGTCAAATTAATCTGTACCATGTGATTCCTCAAACTCCTGAAGCACCCATGGTCACCACCTTGAGAACTAGCGTGGTGCAGTAGTTAGAATGTCAGAACCTAGGGAGACCCCGGCTTAAACTCACATTCTGACATACAAGTTCATTGAGGCAGGCATTCTTTCTCTGCCCAGCCTACCTCACAGGGTTGTAGAGAGGATAAAGCACAAGAGAGCATCATAAGACACTTTGAGTCCCCCCCATCAATCAGGGATAAATGTAGTAAGTAAATGAATACGGTTCTACTGCTCTGACCAGAAGCCCTTACACGTTGGAAAAACTGATCTCAAGGCAACAATACCCCCGCCCAATGTTCCCTCTAAGCTGAGTGTGAGCTAGCTCACAGTGAGCCACTGGCTCACACATGTTTTGCCTTAGCTCAGAAAGGATGGCTCCAGAGCAAACTAATTTATGCAGCAGCCAAATCGCTCGCTCGCAACTTCAGTGCTAACAGTTCGCAAAACAGTTCTTGCTCACAAGACTCCACAACTTAGAGAACGCAATGCCCCCACCCCCTTTGAATTTGCGATTTTTAAGCCAGCCCCACGTATGGACACAACGCTTTTGAGGCTTACTTCCTCACGCTCTTGCCCCCTCTCCCCATACATTTATTTCATCCCCATTATCACACCCCACACCCGAAAACTCACCACCTCCTCCACTCTCCTCTCGCGGCCGCTAACGCTTTCTGGATTCAAACCTTTCAGCCCCCGCCCTCTTCAGCCCCCTTTAAACGGCCGCCGCTCTCTGATTGCCTTGTTGCTCCCCTTCACGCGCCGCCACCGAGACCATCGAGCGCCAATTGGCTTCTTTAGAACAGCACCCGGCGTTCATTGGCTTCCCGGCTAAACAGGAGGCGGGGGGATATTTGCGGCTGTGGAGGCACAGCAGCTTCCGGATGGCCGCCTGTACATGTGTGCGCGTGCGCAACTCCTCCAGTCTTTTGCAATAGTGCTCTCTAGGCTGGGATGGTTCGCTTCAATTCTGTTTGCGCTTTTAACGTTACGCCGATTGCGCACGATCGCGGCATGTGGTAACTCGTCGCTGTGCGGCCCTCGAGGGGTCTTTTCGCTTACGCTAGTCGCGTGTCGCCTCGTTGCGCAACCTGTCCTAACGGTAGCGCGCAGGAACAACCTGCTTTCGTCTCGAAACCGTGAGGGGATCTAGTCAGGACTGAGGAGGGTGCTCCAAGCTGCCTGTTTTTCCTTTTGGGGGCCAACTGAAGCGGCTTCTTGCTCATTCATGAGGGAGGGCCCCCGCCCACCCCCACCCCCCCCCTGAGGCTCCTTGCCTATGGCACAGTTGCTAAGGCCTGTGGGACAGGTGCAAGAAGTTGACATGAATTGGTTAGCCTGAAGGCAGAAAGGCTGCTGGGTTGCCGTTGATGGACAATAGGCTACACCAAGCTGGCCTGGCATAGTAGTGGTCCAGTGTAAGGATGTGCCAGGGTGAGCATGGTAGGCTACCAGCAGCAACAGGTAGCCTACGTTTCTTGTTTGTGCCAAAGGGTGAGCATGGTAGACAGAAAAGAGGCTGCAATGTTGCATGACTTGTAGGAAGAGATTTCTTCGGAGGAAGTCTGCCCAACTGTCTGTGAAATTCAGTCCCCCCCCCCTTTGCAGTAACTTGCAACTAGAAATGCAAAGTGTGAGGCAGTCTGGCCTCTCCAGGCTAGATGATGCCCTTCAGTGGGCCGTTTCTGGAAGCAAATGAGGCAGCAATTCACAGCATGTGTAGGAAGAAGACTCAGAATAGAGAGCGATCCTGAGTGGTTTTTGACACCTGTGAATCCTGTGTTGTTGCTACAGCCCATGAGTTTGGTCAGAGCACAGTGAAAGGGATATCTTGAGCTGATAGGAACTTTTGATTCCTTAACTCTCAGGACACATTCTTAGAGGAAATTGTGCTTTCCCAGTGATGCCAGACCACAGTGCACTGGGGAAAGGGTATTGCCTCATTGTGTTTCATTCTCAAGAAATTGTTTGCAGTAAGAATATTCTGTTCCAGGTTCAAGCTAGGGGCAACTTGCAAGGAGCAGACACTTTCTTCAAAAGAAGTGTGAAAGAGTAGTGAGCCGGGCTAGGTTGCCTTTAATAAGAGTCACTTCTGTATGAAGCAGAAGTTGTGCAGTCAATTGACCTGGCAGTCAATAATGTTGTCATACAGTAAGCAACTGTTGATAGGGTGATTTGGGGTGAGAAACCAGGCAGACATAGGATTGATGTGTGATTCTGCAACCTTTAAAAGCGGTGTGGTAGAACTGAAGGCTGATTTCATGAGGACTGCAAGTCAGGAAGAGATTTCATAGGACTGCATGAAAAACGTGGAATAGGTTAATACCAGTTCTTTAGAGAAGAATGTCAAATCGCCACATGTCTCCAGCGTGTGAAAGGTGGCCGTTTCCGTGGGGCATGAGTAACATGGACTCCCCCACCAACGAACCTCGGCCAATGCGACTGCCATTTCTTGAGGCTGACGTGAGTAGAACTGCTCCTGGAGATTATGGGAGAGGGTTAATTTGGTTCTGCTGATGTGCAGACAAACGTATAGGGAATGCCCAAGACTGCTGTCAAGTTTATTGTTGTTGTTCAGTCGCACAGTCGAGTCCGACTCTTCGCGACCCCATGGACCAGATCACACCAGTCCCTCCTGTCTTCCGCCGTCCTCTGAAGCTTGCTCAATTTCATGTTCGTTGCATCGATGACACTGTCTAACCATCTCATCCTTTGCCGTCCCCTTCTTCTTTGACCTTCAGTCTTTCCCAGCATCAGGGTCTTCTCCAGGGAGGGCTCCCTTCTCATTTGGTGGCCAAAGTATTTGAGCTTCAACTTCAGGATCTGGCCTTCCAGGGAACAGTCAGGGTTGATTTCGTTTAGGATTGACTGATTTGATCTCCTTGCAGTCCAAGGGACTCTCAAGAGTCTTCTCCAGCACCATAGTTCAAAAGAATCTATTCTTCAGCACTCAGCCTTCCTTATAGTCCAACTTTCGCAGCCATACATTACTACTGGGAATATCATTGATACCATACCAAATGTGTTATTTTCTTTCACACTATCTACCGTTGCAATCCTTACATGGGAGTGTCCCCCCCATTGCACTACTCAGAGCCTCTTTCCAAATAAATATTTATAGTATTGCACTGCACCACAGCAATTCTGTGCAAGAGTGGGACTTAGTTCTCAGTAAACATGCCCTAACCTCCAGCTTTAAGGCTGCCAAAGAAAAATCAGTCTTCAGGGATATCCATTATTTAAGGAATGTATAAAACATACATTTCCTTTCCAAAGAGTTAACAACCCCATTCTTGATAAGAGTTGCTCAAATCCCATCGCCCTTCCATGCAGCTCTCTCGCCACAGTCTGCAGGGACGCTTTGGGGCTTTTGTTCCAGTAGGTATGCGGCCGACGGCGCATGCGCCCATTCGTCCTCTGTGTGACTCCGGCGGGAATCGCTTTCTCTTCCAGCTGCGGCTGCAATCGATGTGCGGGGGCTCGATGCAGCAGCCTGTTCGGCGCAGCCTCCCTCGGCCCAGGCTGCTACCGCCTCCTGCCGCCCAGCTCCCGTTGCCTCTGCCGGCCTATCCCCCGATCGATGCTGTCGGGCCTCCAGCAGCCATTTTAAGCGGGGAGAGACCCAGGCCAAGAGACGGACCGGTGAGTATCGGGTTTAGCACCATCGCTTGATCAGATTTCACTCTCCAAGTAGGGTTAGAGGACCGCCTCTTACGGCTGATAGCCCGGAGGCTCCTCTGCGCTCCCCTTTATCGCTGACCCGCCTCCCTCCCGAGCTCCTTCTCACGCTCGTTTGGTGGGGCGGGAAGGAGGATGGTGGATTTGGGGGAGTTGCGGGTGAAGTGTTGGAAGTAACGTGGATGCATTGCAGAGGGAGGCGCGAGGGCCACGTGGGGGATTATTAAAGGCTGTTATAAGGGAAACGGAATTGTGTGGACGGACTAATTCATTTGTTGACAGAGTAGTTTCGAGTCCGGTAGCACCTTAGAGACCAACAAGGTTTTCAAGGGTATAAGCTTTCCGTGGTCAAAGCTTCCGTCGCCAGACATTAGACTTTTAAGGTGTGCTACTGGACTCGAATCTAGCTGTTCTACTGCAGATCGGCACGGCTATGCTCTCTAAAACTATCTTCATAGTAAACGTTTTAAATTATGTCTCTGGCCATATGAACATAAAGAGACTTGATAACCAGACTCAAGAGCTTAACTAGTCCGGTAATCTAGTTCCATTGATGGCTAACAAATAACTAATAGGAATCTTGCCAGGAGGGTATGGAAGCCACAACCCTCTCCGGTTATTTGACTTCCTTGCAATTTACTTGGAGTTTTCATGGCCAGGTACCCTTTTATAGCACTGTTCTCCATTAATCTGTCCAATCCCTTTACATTGTTGTCTAAGATATTGTATCTTGCAGTAGCAAATTCCATAAATTAAGAAGTGCTATGTTCCTTTTCTGTTACATCTTTGCTATCCATCCTCTTTATGGGTGAAATGCTCTGCAGGAGGTTCGTTTTGTGTTTCTTTAGTTGTAGGTGTCTTTTTTATGTCTAATTAAATATGTTTTCACAATAACAGTTATTTGTTGTTATAATTGTTATACAATTAATATGCTAGTATTTGATGCTTTTGCCTCTTTTGCAAACTATAATTTCTTAATTATTTTTAAATGATAATAAAAAGATGGTATATGAGTAAATAATGTATAACTGAGGGATATATTGAAGTGAAAAATTATTTAAGAATAATAAACATCCAATTGCCAAAAAAGAGTACCAAGGACTTCTGTTGTGAAAGTTCACAGTTAAACTAGTCACTTTGTGACTAGCAAATTAATTTTAAAAAATCAGAGAAAGGGATAAGTTTTTTTGTATTAATTTGCTGAATTTGGCTTGTGAACAAATTTTATTAGCCTATTTTTCAGTGCTGCTTTATGTCTGCACTGGTTTTTTCATTATTTAATACTATTTTAAAAATAGGCTGCCTATCAGATTGGAACAATTCTATGGAACAGTGTATATGTTGTTTTACTACACTTGTATGAATTTCTTTTCTCTTTGTTTCAGGCTGTTGGAAGACAACCTTTGCTCACAATGTATAGACCAAAAGTAAGCCTGAAGGACAGACAACAGCTTTACAAGCTCATCATTAGTCAATTACTGTATGATGGATACATCAACATTGCTAATGGTTTGATAAATGAGGTAAAGCCACAGTCTGTCTGTGCACCATCTGAGCAGCTGTTGCATCTGATTAAATTGGGTAAGTTGTATTGCAAACCAGGGTTTAAGACATTGTGCTTAAGTTCAGGTATGTGACAGTGGCATTTCAACAGTCAACATGTTTCCATTTCTGGACTTTCAGTATTATAACTTCACAGTCTCCAGAAATTATGCTAAGTGAATAGGACCTAATTAAAAAAAATAATGCTTTAAAGTTTTCAGCTGAGTTGTAGGAAGCTTTTTCTGAGGTGCTTGGATTCTTCCATCTCTCTAAATGAAAACAGAGTCTAATTTGTGCCCAAATTCATTTCCTTTGATAATGCAGATGAGCACTTAACCATTCAGTGACTTTGTTCAACTTCAATTACTTGTATCAACTGCACTGAAGTTGTTTTAAAGGGCCATAAGAATACAAAATGCATGATGCTAGTCGTGCAATCCAAAGAAGAACTAAACTCTGGTAAGTCTGTTCAAGGTGTGTAAGGCTGCACTGTCTAAAGGAAAGAGTTTGAAGTGCAACAGGTTAGGTTTATAAGATGACTGTTGAAGTCAGACGGGAAGTATTGCTGGATTAACATTCTAGATAGCATATTGATACCAGATCTTCAAAGCAGGCTTGAGAAATGCTGCTGTTACTTTTCACTAATATCTTGCCTGCTCAAAGTTTAAATGTGTCTGCTTTAGGAAAACTCTTCTTACTTTTTCTTCTCCCAGGAATGGAGAATGATGACAGTGCAGTTCAGTATGCCATTGGGCGCTCTGACACCGTCGCTCCAGGCACAGGCATTGACTTGGAATTTGATGCAGATGTACAGACTATGTCCCCAGAGGCCTCTGAATATGAGACATGTTATGTCACATCTCACAAAGGACCATGTCGTGTAGCTACCTATAGCAGAGATGGACAGCTAATAGCTACAGGATCAGCTGACGCATCAATAAAGATACTTGATACAGAGAGAATGTTGGCAAAGAGTGCTATGCCTATTGAGGTAATGGCTGAAATAATAACACAAGAATGCTTGCATTTGTTCGTTCTATTCCACCAGGCTGGGCTTAGCTCCAGGGCCCCCCCTTCAGAAATTTCCTTGTTGTATAGTCACCATTGGCCCCGGTTACACTGACCGAATATCGCGGGGGGGGGGAGGCATGGCTGTTTGCCCCGCCGACATCCCGTGGTTCGGGGGGAGGTGCCAATCATACGACAGTCCTGTGGCGCGGCATGATCACAGCAGCAATGGCTAGGCGCCACTGCCGTGGCAAACGGGGTTGTGGGGTTTTTTTAAACCAAAGTGTGCGCATGCGTCGTTGGGTGCTTGTGCGCATCCCGTGGAGACTTGGGGGAAAAAACCCTTTTCGCCACGGGACATGGGCGGGCGCCAGATGCCACGACCTACCACCGGAAACGCGATTAGACGCCCGCCTTTGCCCCGCGGTTTCCGGAAAGTAGTACCTCGGAAACTAGTACCTCGGAGGTACTAGTTTTTTACGGCGCATCTTCAGCGGGAAGCCTCGGGTTAGCCATGGGAGCTCTACGCTTCCCAGATGTTGCAGTGTGATCACGCCCAAAAAATCCACCTGTCTTCCGTCTCTGTAGCGTGGCTAATGCTCCGTGTGACCGCAGCCATTGTTGGGTTTTGCTTTATGTCCAGTGGTGCATCTTGACCTCAGCTGTTTGTTGGTTGCCCAGATTATGTTGTGCAGTCCTAAAGCTGACAAGGACAAAGTTCTGACTTTGATCCAGAGAAGGAAACTGGTCATTGTGACTCTGTAACCTTTATATTGTTTGTGCAGTTTGCTTTCGAGAAGTCTGGGTGCATCTGGCTGTTAGCGTTAAGGACAGAAATGTTTTTGAGCAAATTTCACTACAGTGTTTTTGAAAGATGAGCATGCTTCAGTCAAGCCAGTTCTTTCGATTCACTGGCACTTAAGCATCTGATATTCATTTTTTTTCCCTCATGCAGCTGCCTCCTACACATCTGTTTAGCTTTGTTCTCAGTCCACAATCCTGCATACTTTGCAGGATTACACAGGGCAGATTTTTATGGGGGAACATGCAGCCTTTGAACTTGTCTACACTTTCTTGGGAGCAAAGTTCTAATGGTCCCTGGGGGAAAATGTTGTTTAGAGCAGTTTGGTTTGGTAGAGTGTCTCACTACAAGTGTCTACCTGAATGCTGTCTTCAGGTTTGTATAGGATGAGCTTTTCTTTTTCAATGACACTGGTATGGTAACCTGATTCTTAACTTGGAACATTTTCATTGCCAAGGTGCTTTCTTGAATACAGCAGTGTTTGACACCAGTATCTTTTATGGTGATGCTTTCAGTGACTTGGAGCCATTTCACAAATGAAAGTGTTTCAGTCTGCAGAGCATTACTGTCTCTTGCGGAAGACGGGGGAAAGGGCCCCCCCCCCCCCCCCCCCCCCCCGAACAGCATGAGGGAACAGTCAATGAAAATGCATTTATTTACAACATTTGTATCCCACCTTTTTGCTTATAGAAGGGCCACAAAGGAGGCTAACAACTTAAAATATACATGGTAAAATACATTATAAAACATTAACAGAACTCTTTCTCCCAAACGTACCTCATTAACACAACTTTAAAAAGAGTTCAACAGAATTAAAATACATATTGGCCCCGGTCACACGTGCCGGAAAATGCGGGGAGGGGGAGGCGTGGCTATTTGTGGCGTTGCAATTAGCTGCGCGGCAACACGATGAGGCACGTCGGTGGCAACCCACGGTTCCAGCCCTCAGTGTGTGCACTGCAACGAAGACGACCGGAGGGAAAAGCCACACCGGCGCAATCACACCAAGGCAAACTGTTTGCTACTACCTTCGAGGAGGTATTTTTTTAACTGCACATTTTCGGTGGCATGCCACGGGTGCACTCCACTTGCCAGATGTTGTGGTGTGATCGCGCCCGGAAAATCCACCATCCAATCGTGGCTCTCCCACGACAAATTCGCCATGTGAATGGGGCCATTAAACAGTTAAAATACATACAAAAATATTGGTGAGGAAGGAGAGATTATTGAGGGAAAGACAGCAACAAAAGGGGCCCGAGAGCTCTTCCTGGGAAGAGAGTTCCAGAGCTTTAGTGCCCTGACTGAAGTCCCACTCCTGGGTTGCCACTCACCTGATCTCAGAAGGTGGGCCTCTGAAAATGGCCATAACAGTTTGCCACTCTTCCATTTGCAGAAATCCTCTGTGGTATCCAAACCAATGGACTTCAAATGCCATAGTGACTAAAGGTAACCTTCACATTCAGAGGCAGCAAACCTCTGAAACCCAGTGCTAGAAGGCCATGCTGGACAAGATAGACCACTAGTCTAATCCATTAGGATTCCTCTTATGCCAGTAAAACCGCAGACTTGCAAGATTTGAAACAATCCTGAACTCTCACAGCTTCAGATCCCGGTTGAAGAATGGATAGTTAATTTCTCACCTTTAAAAGTTTTTGTGAGAATGTCAAAGAGCATTTTCTAAAGCACTCCAAAAGAGTTGTATAGCCTGTGCTGAAAAGATACTCAGTAGAACCCGCTGAGCCCCTGTGGCCTCCAGAGAGGCAGCTCCTTTCAGATAAATGTGTAATACAGGCTATTCATAGTGTGTCTTAGTCCTTATGGTTAAGATGTTACAGTTCTGGCATTGTGATTATTTTTTTCAGGTCATGATGAATGAAACGGCACAGCAGAACATGGAAAACCACCCTGTTATTAGAACTCTTTATGATCACGTGGATGAGGTGACATGTTTAGCTTTTCATCCAACCGAACAGATCCTTGCCTCTGGATCAAGGGATTACACGCTTAAATTGTTCGATTATTCAAAACCGTCTGCTAAAAGAGCCTTCAAATATATCCAGGTTAGATAATTATGCTATAGTTTTATACAGTGGCATAGAAATAATTGGCTTTCACTTTGAAATGTTCTTTTGAAGACTTGCTTATTTTGTTGACTGTGGGTGCAAGTGTTCACAGAATCAGCATCATCCTGGAGCTGAAGAAACCTCAGTTCCATAGTTATCTTAAAGAAATTAACTTGAACGTCTGTGTCCACAGGTATGAGAGTTTTCAGCTGCCTAAAGATTAGATGTGGACATGAAAATGTAGTGTCTAAGGCTAGAATCAAGAATGGTGGGTAAAGGGGATTGCTTAATTCTCTCTCTTCCAAGAATTATCTGCTCAGATTTACCCCTCCTCTTGTGTTCCTAATCCTGGGGAGAAAATAATTATTTGGAGAATTTAGAAGCCACCCCTCCAGAGAGGTGAATGTTTGTGGTCCCCAATATCTTTTGCAGTAAGGAAAGCAACTTGTAGAGGGTTGCTTTAAGCTGAATGTAACCAGAGGAGAAGAAATTAACCAGTGTGCCTGTACCCATTTCTTGCTCAAAGAGCAGTGTGCCAAAACTGTTTTGGATTTTTTAAAAAAGAAAAGACTCCAATGATTGTAACACATCCTCCTTATAACATCTAGTGTGAACCTGGTCTGCAGACTGCTGAAAAATTGGAAGTCAGATCTTCTGAAATGCATGTCCTGCCCTAAAAACATAGATCAATTGGAGATTTGGTGGGTCTTGATTGTCTAGTAATTTATGTGGGCCAGAAACAAATGACTCTTCATCTCTCTGTTTCCCCCTCTAAATTTAACTCAGTTTTTAGCAATTGCTTTGGAGCGTGAGTCTTCTTGTGAGGGGCTGAGTATAGTCTTTGGGAAATTTACAAAATGGAAATATTAGGCACAGATGCCCATAACTTTTAATCAGTTTCTTTCTCTTCAAAACCTACTTCTTGGGTTCCTTTGCCTCATTGGTAAGCAATAATGGCTGCCACGGGTGCTTTCCCTCTACTAGACAGCTGATCAAGCTGCCTCCACTGCATCGTAGCTGATTTGTGCATCCTGTTTTCAGGATCCTGGATCCTCTCTAGTCCAGTGGGGAAGATCCAAGAGAAAAGCTCTTTTCATACAAATAATGCTCAGTCACTAATCCTGCCTTCAAAATGGCCCTGCCTACTTTCCTGAAAGATACGGCAAGTGCTGGAGAAGTGCCTGTGGGTGCCATGAGTCCCACAGTTACAATCCTGGGGATTACTGACCTAATGTAATATTTACAGAAGCCTCTGGTTCTCATGAAATTAGGCCTCTAAGAATGAATGAATTACTGAAACTCACAAAATGTTTTCAAAACATTACGTAAATACTTTGTCTCATGCAATATACATTGATAATCCTTGTTCTATAAGCAGATATCTTTGAGCTGTAATGTGTATTAATTAAAATCTCTTTTTAGGTAGGGTTTTCCTCAAAAACGCTATCAACAAAATTCCAATTTTTTTTAAAAAAAATCTGATTAAAAAAAAAGAAATCATTGATTTTTGTCCACCCTCTTCTGTGGGAATGAATTTCTTCTGTGCTTCATGCAGCAGCCGGCACAACATTTGGCAATTAGTTTTGGAGTAATAACAACAGTATGATGCATTTTTGTTAATTGCCTATTTTCCAACTAAACAGGAAGCAGAAATGCTACGTTCTATCTCTTTCCATCCTTCTGGAGACTTCATACTTGTTGGTACCCAGCATCCTACCTTGCGACTGTATGACGTCAATACTTTCCAGTGTTTTGTGTCTTGCAACCCTCAAGATCAGCACACTGATGCTATATGCTCAGTTAATTACAATGCAAGTGCTAACATGTACGTGACGGGCAGCAAAGATGGATGCATCAAACTATGGGATGGTGTTTCAAATCGCTGTATCACCACTTTTGAGAAAGCTCACGATGGAGCTGAAGTTTGTTCTGCCATCTTCTCCAAGAATTCCAAGTATATTCTGTCGAGTGGAAAAGACTCTGTAGCTAAACTATGGGAGATATCTACAGGGAGAACCCTGGTCAAATATACAGGTAGGTGGAAGCTAACCTCAGCAACACCAACAATAAAAAAGTTGTTCTTGGAAAGATCCAAGTAATGCACTCTTTTTCTCTCATGCAGATTTATCTCTTATTGCAGTTTATTGAATCTAGCTAAACACACATTAATACTTTTGATATTGTGGGGGTTTTGTTCATACATAAGTCTAGTTGCTCTTGAGCTGAGTTTTCAGCTTCTCAAAACTGGATGCTTCTTTTTGGGCATGAGCGTGTCTTTAAACCTGGTTGCATGCAGTCCTGTAATCTAATCTACAGAATCTGTAGTCTACAGAAGAGTAGTTTTCAGTGGGGAAAATATTGTCACACAACCCATGAGACTTGGGTTATTTGTCTGCTTTGTGTATTCAGTAACTATCATTGGCGTTGTCTCTCCGTTTTGTAAGTTGAGACTAGTGGTCTGTTTTGAGGAAAATTGTAAATAGCTTGTAAGTACTCTCTGTAAAATCTTCAGAATCAGGAAAATAATCCAGATGTTTTTCTTTTGTCTGTGAGAAATAATTCATGAGGAATAATATTTTTTCCCTAGATGTAGGATAAAATCTAAGGCATAGCCTGCAGTCTTGCCCAGCAGCATACCTAGGGTGTTGCATAACTCTTTATGTATACCAGGAGACATTCCTGGAAGGTTCGTGCATTTATTTGCTTCTCACCAGTATCACTTGGCACGGAGATGGTGTTGTTCATTTGATTATATCATTGAGCCAGAACAAGCAGCATCAAAGCGTAATTGTTCTGTTTGCTATCTTATACTTCCACTGTGAAATGCTACTACAATGACATAGAGCTCCAAAGAACAAAGAAATAAAACTTTGCATTTTCCTTGTCACATGAAGCTGCCTTATAGTGAATCAGACCATTGATCCATCAAGGTCAGTATTGTCTACTCAGACTGGCAGTGGCTCTCCAGGGTCACTCACATCACCTGGAGATGCTGGGGATTGAACCTGGGACCTTCTGCATGCCAACCAGAAGCTCTACCATTGAGCCATGGCCCCTTCTTTGTCCAAAAGAACTTAACAAATATACCTTGTAATTTAAGACCAGTGTATAACAATTTTGGACCAGCAGGGTGCACCCAAGTCTTAGTTTATTGAAATACCTTTTGTTACTGGAAGGAACTGTAGGCTACCTGTGAACACACATGGAGCTGCCTTGTACTGAATGCATGCATCATTGGTCCATCAAGGTCAATATTGTCTGCTCAGACTGACAGTGGCATAGCTGCCTGGTCCTTTTTTCTTGTTAATCTAGAGGTGCTAGGGGATGAACCTGAAAATCTTGTTGGGTCCAACCTGCATGCCAGGCGGAGGCTCTTCTATTGAGCCACAGACCCTTCATATATGTATATTGCAGGTGGACTTTACCCTTTTGGGAAAGCGTCTTGATGTTTTTTAACATTCTTACCCTTAAGTCCTAAATAAGTGCTTACCTGCCAAGCTATTTTAACTGGTACATGGTTAGGTAGCTTATTGAGAAAATACCTCCTATGGACCTCATACATAGTGGGTTGGATCCAGTCAGCTTTTTTGCTGAATCTCACCCAGTTCTCATTTCTACAGCTATCTGTCCCACATGGCTTTCATCCATATAGGTCTCACGATCCCCCAGCATAGCCTTGATGCTGAAAGGGAACCAGCAGAAAATCCCGTTGGATCCAACCTGAATAGCATGGAAAGCAGCACATATTTGGGTTCACTGGAATGGCATGTATTTGAAATGAAGGGACAGGGTGCATTTAATAATGCCTAGTGTTTGATCCATAATACTGTGAGGACAAAATTTTCTCACTCCATACATTAGCCCACTGTGCCCCCAAAGTGTCAGGGTTCCCAGCCCTGTGCCAGCAAATGGCAGGAGATTTGGTGGGCAGTTCCTGGGAAGGGTGGAGTTTCAGGAGGAAGTGGTATTGCTTCTGTGTGATGCTCTAGGGATTTCCTCTAATCTCTGTGGTAATTGCCATCAGCATGGTTCTCCCCCTGCGTTGTTTTTAACTCCTCAAATTATCAAGGGTAGAGGATTGCCCACTGCCAGCAGGCAAATCACAGTTATAACAACAGTGGGTCAGAGTAACCACAGGAACAGAACTGGTTGCAATGTGCTGTGAAAGAGGAGAAACTGCAAGAATTGCTTTCCACATTTTTCAGTGATATGTGTTAGATACCTGACCGGAATACATATTTTCCTTCTTGGACGTCATTAATTAAGTGTATCAAATGCATGAACATCTTAAAATACCAGTTCCATACAAATTTATAGAATTAGATTCCAAACTTCAGAATCTGAGGAATGATATCCCAATGATTTCTGGGGAGTATAATTTAATATTTATGCTTGTTACTACTCGTTGGAAGTAATTCATTGCCGCTAACCATCACCTGGAAGTATATAAACTCTGATACCAATTAAAGACTTTATGCCGCCTGTCTCGAAACCCGGAAAAGGATTTCAGTATTGGCTAATGGACAGCATATAGTTGGTATGAATACCTTGAGAATTAAGTCCTGCTTCATTATGCTGAAGCAGGAGTCCAGCTTTTAAGATTCACTGTGAGTGAATCAGTAAGTGTGTGTATTGATTTTTCAGTATTCTGTGACTCAGGTGTTGCACTCCATTTAGTTGATGTTAATTAGCAAACAATGTGACTGTTTATGTATCATACCTGTTATATATTGAATACTTAGAGATTTATGTCATAGTTGAAGCACAGAGTAAAGATGGAATCTATAAGAAGTACTTCCAATTTTACCGTAAGTTTAGGAAAGAAAGATCTACATTATGTCTGTCTGTACACTTGATAGTCTCCATGCCTTTAATTGCAATTATGTTTTGAAGGCAACACCAATCCCCCCTCCCCCCCAAGTACTGTGCAATCAAAATGTTTGCTGCTGCTGAACTATTCCTGGTTGCTTTCAAATATGTCACAAGGGCCATAACGGATTCAAAAATATGACTGCATTTCTAAAAAAGTCTGCTTTCTCAAATCTCATCCATTTTTAACCTCTGGGCAAAGTTATCATATGTAATTAAAAAGCTCTCTTAGCAATACTGCATCTTTAGCAGAGTTTAATACCACTTTTCCTTTAGACTAATTTTTAATGATATTTGCATTAGGAGATTGCATCATGCAATTTTTAAAAATTGTATATGTTGATTTCTTCTGGGATCCATTTTCCTAGATCTCTATACTACTTTGTAGTGTAACTAATTTGTATTAGGTTTTCACTCTTTCTGGTTAAATTTTTTATTTTCAAAAAGTGGGATACAAAAGGGAAAAAGGGTAAGGAAAAGTGTAAATTCATCTAAAGTTCTCAAATATCATGAATAGTTGCATACAACAAGTAGAATAAATTGTATTAATAAAAATAGAGAAATATATAATCAGCAAATAACACCAGAACACCTGGACAGGGCATTACAAGCCATGGCTGGATGGTTACAGCAGAGCTGACTGAAACTGGATCCATCGAAGACGGTGGTCCTGCACGCGGGCCATGGAGGTCAGGGACTGGGTATCAGGCTCCCAGCCTTTGACGGGGCCCCATTGGTGCCAGCATTGAGGGTAAAGAGCCTGGGGGGTGTTCCTGGATGCCTCACTGACTATGGAGGCCCAGGTCACTGCCACAGCCAGATCTGTCTTTTTCCATCTGAGGCATATCAGGTAGTTGGCCCCATACTTCTCCCCAATGACCTGGCTGCAGTGACCCATGCAGTGGTCACTTCTAGATTGGACTATTGTAATTCTCTCTACATGGGGCTGCCCTTGGACTATTGTCATTCTCTCTACGTGGGGCCGCCCTTGACTCTGCTCCAGAAGCTACAGCTAGTGCAGAAAGCAGCAGCATGGGTGTTGATGTTGCTGCCTGTACAGGCCCACATCCGCCCGGTGCTGCGTGAACTGCACTGGCTGCCTATTGAATTCCAGATCCGCTTCAAGGTGCTGGTGCTTACTTTTAAAGCTCTATACGGACAGGGGCCTGCATATCTTCAAGACCGCTTCTCCCCATATGAACCTCACAGAACATTACATTCTGCAAATCAGCATCTCCTGGTAGTCCCTGGCACTAAGGATGTCCGACTTGCCTCAGCTAAGGCCAGGGACTTTTCGGCCCTGGCCCCCACCTGGTAGAATGAGCTCCCTTATGAGATCAGGGCCCTGCGGGACCTGTTACAGTTCCGCAGGGTCTGTAAGACAGAGCTCTTCCGCCAGACTTTCAGTTGAGGCAGCGGGTATCCACCAAGTATGGCTTCCCGTCCAGGGACTGCAGATCCTACATTACTGTTATCAGCATCTTCTGTTGAGGCATATTGTACATCTAGTATTAGATTGTTTAATGGATTTATGTGTTTTAAATTTTAATTGTAAATCTGCACTGTGTGCAGACGGATATGTTTGGAACCAGCCCTGAGCCTGCTATGTGGGGAGGATGGGTTATAAATTTAATTAATTACAGTATTCAGGAATAAGTTCTCTCTTTGAAATAAGAACCAAAATATTTCCGAATATTCAGCGATAGTCTGGTAAAAATAAACAAGATTACATCTTTAATAATTAAAGAGATTTCTACCCTAAGTTTAAACCATCCGTAAAACCTGGATATTATCTTACCCATTTATTTTTAATTTTTATCACATTATAAGTCTTATTTTTACTAAATACTTAAATACTTACGTAATGAAGTATTAAAGAGATTTAATCTGTAATCAATATCATCATCCCCTTTTATGTAATATTCAGATAAATTCAAAAGGTTTCAAGAAATTTAACTACTCCCATAATAATGGGTAATAGGCTTGCCATTTCTGCTGAAATTCTTTCAGTGGTCTTTTATTTATATAGTTAGTTTTGCCATTGTTGCGTATTCAGCTAATTTTTCTTTCCAAATCTCTAATGTGGGACATTTTTCTGTTTTCCATTTCATTGCAAATTTTAGTCTAGCAGCTGTTAACATTAATCTGAGAAAGTCTTGTGAAGC